GAACATTACTGAAAGGTGCATGTCAAATGAAGACATTTTAACCAGTTTCCAGGTTCTCTTCCCTGGGTTTTCAGGTCTAGACAAAGTTCATCATATGGAACAACTGTCAGAATACTTTGAAAATGACGCAGCTCTTGCTTCTGTCAAGGCTGAGTACATAATGTGGTGTAATATTACACCATCAATTAAGAAAGATACTGAGGCACTTAAAGTGTTGGAACTGTGTGACAAAGCCTACTATTGGTCAATAAATTTCCTTTTGACTGTGTTAGCTACTCTACCAGTAACAAGATGCAGTGTGGAAAGATTGTTTTCAACCATGAAAAGAGTGAAAAGTGTATCTAGAAGTTTAATGACAGACCAGAGACTTAGTGGAATAGCAATGATTTCCATCCATTGGGACATCACTTTTAAACCAAAAAAAGTAATTGACAAAATGGCTAGGGAGAAGAAAAGAAAACTGTTGCTGTAAAGTAAAAAATAAGTCAAAAAGTATTCTAAACATTTTGTTATTGGAAGTAAATAAATAACATTTATTGTTTAAACTGTTATGTTTATTCATATCATGATCTGATCGCCATGCTCAATATATCCCATATGCATGGGAGTACTGGGATAAGATCAAAATCCTGGCTACGGGCCTGCTCCCAGATAATCCAGGATAAGCAGATATTCTGGGATCAGATCCTGGGATACAGAAGAGTGTAGATCCAGTCAGAGCTGTTGGAATGATGCTTCTCGGTTCCTGCTTCTGTTTTTGTATTTTCTCAGGATTTATAGTCTGATACACTTATAAGAGTCAATTTGTTGTTGTGTGCCTTTAAGTTGTTTCCAATGTATGGTGAACCTAAGGGAACCCCATCACAGGGTTTTCTGGGGCTAACATCAAGGGAACCACTGACCGCATAGGGAAGCTGATGAGGAAACATAACTTACAAACAATCTACAAACCCACCAAGAAAATCCAACAAATGCTACGTTCAGCAAAGACAAGAGGGATCCTCTCACCTCTGCAGGAGTCTACCATATACCATGCAGCTGTGGACAAGTCTACATAGGGACCACCAAACGCAGCATTGCCCAAACACGAATCAAGGAACATGAAAGGCATTGCAGACTACTTCAACCAGAGAAGTCAGCCATAGCAGAGCACCTGATGAACCAGCCTGGACACAGCATATTATTTGAGAACACAGAAATGATGGACCACTCCAACAACCACCATGTCAGACTACACAGAGAAGCCATTGAAATCCACAAGCATGTGGACAATTTCAACAGAAAGGAGGAGACCATGAAAATGAACAAAATCTGGCTACCAGTATTAAAAAACTCTAAAATTACTACAGCAAAACAACAGAGAGGAAACAACCAGGCACATCTTAACACCTCTCAACAGAACATTTTCACAGGCTCAGCCAGGCCTTCAAATGCTAATGAAGGTGGTCAGCTGAAACATTCACACCTAGCTTCAGCAGAGAGCTCTTTGCCCCACCCCAGTCATTCCACAGATATATAAACCCATTTTCCTAGTTCCAACAGACCTCACTACCTCTGAGGATGCTTGCCATAGATGCAGGCGAAACGTCAGGAGAAATGCCTCTAGAACATGGCCCTATAGCCCGAAAAAACCTACAAGAACCTAAACCATGGATTCATAATGTGGTAATAAACCATGGCTTATTAGGAAAAGTAAATTTGCATGTTGCAAACAAGCCAGTTTTCAACCATGGCTTGCTGTGATATATAATAAAAACTGTCTAAGTCAGGGTTTTAGGTAAAAAAAATCAGACTTTTAATGATAACAAATCAGCATTTGCTAAATAGGTTGATTTTCCTTTTTTTTGAAGTACAACAGAAGCATCTTCTGCACTGTAAACACTGCAAAACATATTCGTGTAAATGCCTAAAACACCTACTAGGTGGCATTCAGAAAACTTTTAGTGTTGCCATTTTTGGGACCTCAACATTGAGATAAGGGGACCCCATCTGGGGTTGGGAACCAAAGTAGAAAAAAGCAGTCGTTTAAGTCACACTATTTTAGAAAGTAGACAGTCCATTTAACACTATATCTAATCACAAATTCACACCTTAATCAATAATTAATTGCTTTTAAAAGCTATTTCATATAGTCCATTAAGAAGAACCTAGGCTTTCACAAAATGAATGCTTCTTGGGGAACTTCAGCCATACATTCCTTATTAAGCATACTTACATGATACAGATTTTTGTTGCATTTGCAAACAGTAAAATTCAAATCCATTCCTAAACCGCAGTATTTAAATAGGCTCAGTATCACCAAGTGATGTGCTCTGGCTTTGCCTCCCAAGAAAAAACAACTTCAATCTTCTCTGAAATGTTTTGTGGAATCAAGAAGTCTGCTTTCTCTATCTCTTGCCACATATAACTATTTAGGAATCTTTTGAGCCAACTGCAAAGTTTAAGCTGTTGCCCCTGGAAAAGATACATAAGAAAACACAGCTTGGGAAGCTGCCTTTGGGATTGCAAGACCTCCAACCCCCCCAAATCCTTCTGGTCATGTGACTCTGGCTACTTCCAAGCCTGTAAGTCAGTGGTTCTCAACCTGGGGTCCCCAGATGTTTTTGGCCTATGACTCCTAGAAATCCCAGCCAGTTTATCAGCTATTAGGATTTCTGGCAGTTGAAGACCAAAAACATCTGGGGACCCCAGGTTGAGAACCATTGCTGTAAATCATCATACTATCCTAACATAACAAAGGAGTAGCTAGTGGCATGTCTGCAGGCAGGCTTCAGCATTACAACAGTTAAATTCTGAAGCAACGCATTACAGTGCCTCAAAACAATCTGCGTACAGGAAATTAAATGTTCTTTCTAACAAATTGAAACTTCCTTATTTCTATGCTGACTGTTGTGAAAGAGTTGTCTGTTCTTCAGTTTGGCCAAGTTTAATATTAACTTTTATATAATTATAAAGTTTGTGCTTCTCTGTGTATGTGTTTTTGTGAGTTTAGAATATGGATTTTTTCCCAAGTTCCCTAACATTGCTATAGTCAAAATCATGAGCAGCCTAGTTATGCCTACTCTACTGCTAATGTGGGTAGTCTTTGGGGAGTCTAGAATCTAGGGAAATGGAACCAACTTCTTGGCTCCTTGGGGATGCCAGAGCAATTTACAAAGAACGCAGCACAAGAATGTAAGAAGTCTGTGGAGGGGGGGAAATCACAAAAACATAGAGCAGTGGTTCTCAACCTTCCTAATGCTGCGACCCCTTAATACAGTTCTTCATGTTATGTTGACATCTAACCATAAAATAATTCTCGTTGCTATTTCATAACTGTTATTTTTCTACGGTTATCAATTATAATGTAAACATCTGATGTATTTTCATTCACTTGACCAAATTTGGCACAAATACCCAATACACCCAAGTTTGAATACTGGTGGGGTTGGGATTGATTTTGACATTTGGGAGTTGTAGTTGCTGGGATTTATAGTTCACCTACAATCAAAGAGCATTTAGATCTCTACCATCGATGTAATTGAACCAAACTTGGCACACATAACTTCAATTACCAGCAAAAAAAATACTGGAAGAGTTTGGTGGGCATTGACCTTGAGTTTTGGAATTGTACTTCACCTACATCCAGCGAACACTGGACTCAAACAATGATGAATCTGGACGAAAGTTTGCATGAATACTCAATATGCCAAAATGTGGACACTGGTGGAGTTTAGGAAAAATAGACCTTGACATTTGGGAGTTGTAGTTGCTGGGATTCATAGTTCATCTACAATCAAAGAGCATTCTGAACCCCACCAACGATGGAATTGAACCAATCTTGGCATACAGAACTTCCATGACCAACAGAAAAAGGGTTTGGTGGGCATTGACCTTGAGTTTTAGAGTTGTAGTTCACCTACATCCAGAGAGCACTGTGGACTCAAACAATGATGGATCATGACCAACATGGCATGAATATTCAATATGCCCAAATGTGAACACTGGTGGAGTTTGGAGGAAAAATAGACCTTGACATTTGGGAGTTGTAGTTGCTGGGATGTATAGTTCACCTACAATCAAAGAGCATTCTGAACCGCACAAATGACAGAATTGGGTCAAACTTCCCACACTGAAAGCCCATGACCACTAGAAAATACTTTGTTTTCTGGTGGTCTTTGGCGACCTCTCTGACACCCCTTCGCAACCCCTCCAGGGGTCCTGACTCTCAGGTTAAGAAACACTGATACAGAGCTTAAAATATGTTTTATTTGAAGTCAAATAACACAGA